CTGAGCGTTTGCGGAGTATGGAGATTGCACTCAAGTGCCGCTACTCCTACAGTCCCGTTCCAGTATTTTAAGCGGAAATTGTAGCACGCTAGTGCAGCTGCGCACCCACTCGCCACTCACATGGCAAGGGCCGTCCTTGCAGGACGGCAAACAGTTCGTCCTTAAACATCAGGGTCATCGTTCACAGATCACGTTGGGGTTATTTGTGTTTATCACGTGATAAATACTATGGGTCAGATGAACCCTGAGGACACTAAGGTGGTCTTGAGAGCGTTCTTGGCGAAGACATCGTCATCGCTCTCATTCCACCTAGGTATCCGGTTTTTTTGTTTATATTCAAAATGGCCTTTTTACGTGCACTAAAGGACAAAAAACCTGCCTAAACCCTATGTTCAGCAAATTCTGCCCTTAATATCCGTATAAATGGTCAGCAAGGGTGATAAGCGGTCAGATCTCAGCCATGAACCGACTGCTCACTCTCCTCTGCTTCATCGCTCTCTTAGTTTTCATCAACGCTGTGCCAGTATATGTTCCGGCATACTATATACCGTAAGTGCTTGCTGTTTTGAAGGTACTGAATTTGGACTGATCTTCAAGTCCTGTTCATTTTAGGCACCTCCGACCGAGACGACAATTTGGCTTCGGAATGCCTGGAGGTTTTGGTGGTGGCAATGCGTACGGTAACTCCTTTGGATTCAGCGAAAGCGAAAGCTTCAACGCTTACGACCAAGGCTTCAACACCGGCTTTGTCGGATTATGAAACAACGACTTTGTAAACTTTCATATTTATTTCGCCAATAAACACACATTCTTCCTCGCTTGTGTTGACAAACAAAAGCAGCAACTACATAAAGGTACACTCCATATTCCAAAGATGGGGGAGGGGGGGGCGTGGCTGCGTATTTCAGTTGAGCACGGCGTAAGATGCGTTTTTTGTGGGCTTTCCCATCTGAAACAACTGTCACCATGTCTTGCGCCTGACAGAGGCATGATTATTACATGTCTTAGAGCGGCGGTACCCCTCTATCAATCCCCTCCTTTCCGTCACCTTTCCAATCCGCCAAGTTCCAAATGGTGTAGGAGTCATGCCCATTGCATCTGTGGGATATGTAGAATAAGCACAGCTTCTAAAGCTGTTCAGTCGAGCGAATTTATTAACAGCTTTGAAGAACCATTTCTCATGGGAATTATCTCCGATTTACGGCGCACAAGGGATAGAGGAATAAGACACGATAGTACTCAATCTTAAATGGTAGCATGGTGCTATGCATGGAAAAATGCCGAAAAGCGAAGTGGAACGGTTGAATACACGCAAAAAAGCATGTGTTCTACACGACTCAGAAAGATTCCAGACGAGCAGCACTCGAATGATTTCAGACGAGTTCCCCGTTGGCATTGTGCATTCCGCAATAACTTATTTGGTAGCTTAAGCTGTGCACTTTCTAACCTACTTAGAAGAGCCTGTCCGCATTTTCAGAGGATTCCACTTTCACGGCTCAATAGTATGTGACGGAGGGTGCGGCGGTCATCATTAAAGAAAAACGCACCAAGGGTACACCGTGACGTTGTGCAAAAATTTTGCAAAATACGACCTTCTCCAAACCTGTTCCTCTGCCCCTCTACGACTAATCGATCATCCTCCCGATTCCTCTTATGAAGTATGGCGTTGCACGCAGGGCGAGGCGAGGGGGGAGGAAGTACCGACCTCGATCGCTATCAGAAATAGTATTTGCAGCTCTGTCAGCTTGGTGTAGCTCTTATGAAACAGGAAAATCAACAGTGAGCAAACAATTGTTTCTCATCAGCAACCAAATACGCCACTTGTTGCGTCTGATGATAAGCGCTGAACGCAAACTGGAAATTACATCAAGCTTGTGGATGGGATATTTGCAGCAGTCCCATTTATGAACACTGCTACTGCTCACCGCGTTCATTCTGCGTGGGATCGACCTGTGGTCTTTCTCGTCAGCCTGTTCTCTCATCCTTTATCTCTGACCAGGCTCCCGAGCAGCTGTGTCTCGCTCTTCAGAAGTTGGTTCAATGCAAGGCCTTGCTCGGGGCTTCCTTGAAGGAAAGTCCCTTTCTCTTTCCCCGATAAATCACTAGCATCCATAAGTTTGCATCAGGACCTCGCTGCGATTACACCAGGTGTCCTTGAACAGAGGGTAAGCGTGGCTCCGGTCGCGTGATAGATAAAGCAAGTGCCTGGAAAGCGGGAGATGCAGGTTCGAATCCCGTCCCGGGTCCGACTGCCCATATCTCAGCATTCTTGTGATAGCTGTTCTTTAACAATTTCCTCAGGTTAGCCTGATCCCTTATGAGGACACATTATCCTAAACGTGTACGTGGAATGGAGTGTGTAGGAGAATCGAGTGCTCACAGTAACACCCAGTTTTCACCTAAGTGCACCTGGTTACTTGAGGAGGGCTAGACTAATGTCGCTTTCCCTCCTGGTCCCACCCTGGAGCTTCCTCCCCTTGCGCGCGCACAGGGCCAACTAATTTCATCTCATGCGCAATTTCTAGAGGTAAGGCCCGCCTGTTCTTTTAAACTTATCATCTTGGGCGATGGAGACATTGCCAGCGCTGACTCGAAGAACTCATGCTGTGTTGTTCGCTATTCGAGCAGCACTGTCGTGCGATTTGAGAACTATGGGACTCAGGCGAGTCGAATATCTAAATCCGATTCAAAATAGAAATTCCTTCAACTGTTACACGGTCCATAGAATAGCGATGAAGCGCAGTCGGTCGCAGTCGCGCGATCGAATTGTTCGAATCGCGAAGTATGAAGTAAGCTCAAAAATCAGCGTTGCCTCAGGAAACGATCAACCGCAGCATGAGTGGAAGGGACGTGGAGTGTACGGTTTTCTTCTTACACCTATCGCATACAAGTCAGTGCGATTTTCCAACAGATGAATGAGCTAAGAGGCGGTCTTTCGATTGCGATAAAAACCACTTACCATCTGCGCGAATTGCAGGAAATAGTACGCTGAGAAGTACAGAGATATAAATGTGATAGTACATCATTCGGTGAAAAAGTCATGAATGAATGACCGTTGGCCGATTGCCAACCTCCCACCGAGGTCCTCCTCTTTTACCGCCAATTAGGCATTTTTCTCTGTAGAATCTAATCTTATTATAATCGGGATGTAATCAGCGAAATGCATCGTCGCATGGTAGTTCCATTAGATGAACAAAAAACGAACATATAGCATGCTTGTGGGCGAATTCCACCCTCTCACCGAAACCCATTGTTGAGCGCTGGATACTGTAGTGCTTGACTCGATTGACGTCATTCTCGAAGAAAGGGACAGTGGGCTCATGTCATCCTCTCCTCAAGACGCGCCACGCATTCAACCTTCCATTCAAATCTATAGCCGTAACTTGAGGTACACAGCAAAGTCGGGTGGACAGCCGCCGCATGGTACGGCATCGTTGTGTCAAAACCATGGGGGGTCGCTTAATTGTCAGGAAAATTTATTATGATAATTAATTTTTTCTTGTGGGAAAGGAGGGGGGGGGAAGGCCCCTCCCTCAGCCGGCTCGACAACTTTTTCGCCACCTATGTTACTCATCCTCCGTCCCGCCGCGCGACGAAGCCGTGGAGGCAAGGAGGGGGGGGTCGTGCCTGCGACCCCATCGAAGGGGGGGGGGTCGTGCTCACACCGACATTTCGCACATCCTCATGCTGTACCCTGAGCCGCCGTATGTAACGAGCCTTTCATATACTCATACGAGCTTCTGCCGTTATCGTTAGTGCCGCTTCATACCTCCTGTTCCCCAGCTTCTACGAGATTTTTTTAGGGGGAAAAACTTTGGCAAGGGTTTCTATTGAAAAAAAAACTTACACAACTGGCGGTACGAAATTGGCGGGAGAGTTTCGATTTGAAGAGATCTGGGGCAAATACTAGTAGGCTAGGATGGGTGTGAGAGGAGTTTCGTTAGAGGGGGAGATTTCGAGAGGTGGAGGCTCGTATTCCGCAAAATTTTCAAATTTTCTGCAACATCATAACGTGCTACGCTAGCAAATGGTCCAAGAACGGTGGAATACTTGGATGGCCTGAGCGAAAAATGCTCCGAAAATTGACTCCTGGACTGTTGTGAGCGGCCCCACTTATTACCGTTACACCATTTTGCCCCCTACCACACTAATTAATATGGTGGGGAATACGACATGGTTATGGCATTCCTATTGTGCAACAAATCGAATCTAGCGCTCCTCCACCTTGTTCACCTCAAGAGCTCAATGTTAGAGTTTCAGCTACTTACTTATGCACTTCTTCTTGAGCAAGAAAAATTCTGATCACGATGATCATTAGTATCTTGCCGTTCCAGAATTTTAAATGAGTAGTGAAGGAAGGGTTGATTAGCGTCTCGCTACAGATGGTATTTTTTGAGGGGGGAGGGGCTAGTTGTTATCAGGAGGGTGGTGAGCTTGGGCAGTGTAGGACCCACGACAGAGCAAAACCGGTATGCAAAAGAAGAAGACTTTTTCTCGAATGACATCGTTCAAGAACTCTTCCAGAATAGGCCATAAAATTCGCCATTGAGGATTTTTCCCGATGACGAGGAAACTACTCTTGCGCGCAGGTTGTCACCCTCCGGCCATGACTTCGCTCATACATAATTTTTGGAAGAGCTTTAGGAAGCATTGGAAACCGCATACATCTTGCCGCAGTTCCGTCGTCTTCTCATCTCCAAGTACGACCCCCTCTGCTTTTCAATCGGCTAGATTTGACCCGCTCTTTGAGAATTCTTTAACGACACTTGACCCTGGTTACCAGTAGAGGAGGTACAGGACGAAACATTGAAAGGCATAAGAGAACATGTGACTAGTCAGGAATGGGCTTTTTTAAGAACGAGGACGCCGTCATGGATGATCCACGATTAAAAGTTGAAAAGTTGGAACGTGTGAGGTCACAGTGAAAATAGAATGCTATGCAGAGAGCAGAGCAATTCACAAAACTGTAACACATAACGACTCTGGCCTTTTATGTTCTGACACTGAGGTCGCGTTCATACTTTGCGACCCGAACGCTTGGATCGCGAGATCGCGTCGTGTGCGTCGCTTTGTTTAGGGGAAGGAACGAAGTGTTACCGCGCAGCAAGGGTAACCATGAAAATATGCATAAGAGTTCCACAGCAATTACTGAATCAAACCAGATTTTTTAACGCTGAGAGAGTGTTCATAATCAGCGCTGAGGAAGATTACCGAGCAATACCGCGAGTGGCTTGATACATATCGACTAGATAGGCTTCGCTCTCTCTGCGCTCCGGAGAAATCCTCATCCGAACGATAATCCGAACTTTCTGATCAATCATAATTTCCTCTTTCCTTCCAGTTATTCCTTTTCGCAAATTCGTTGGTTATTCTACCCTCCAAGATCGCAAATGTTGAAAAATACTCGGCAGAACCATCATCATGTGACTGTCGTAGATTCGAATGTCTCTGCCGTGGTCACTAGGAACATTTCACTTTACGGCAATTGCAGCTGTTGTTTTTGGTGTGCGCGCATGCATTCGTCCTCGGGCTGCCTTCTCACTCAAGCATATTGACTTCCCTTTTTCATGTTCTTGTGCTGGTTTAAACGTTTTATGGGTAACTTAGGTACGAGTAAAGTTGGGGCCGGTTCAGAACTCGAACGGGTGCATTCCACACTTTTGTTTGATGAGCGCACTTTCGCATTGTCCCCGTCTTCGTCAAATCAATACTCGTCGTACCTTTGGTGGGAACATGTTGAGCATCTCATACATTTCTCTCCTGAAGCTCTTTCGTTAGCCTTTTTCATTACTACAAATATTTTTCTGACCTTCCGCTTAATCATGTTGTTTTTGGCGCTGTTCGGCTTGATGGGGGCATTGGGCCTCATCGATCATTGTCGATGCCTCATGCCTTTGCAGCTCTGTTACCTGTTAACCTGTGGGACCTGTTAACCCTTGTAAAGCTATGCAATAGCACGTGCTTCGTTTACATTTGGCAAATGACTGCAGGTCCCAACGTACACCCCCCTTGAGCCGAAGAGCACTTCCAATTTTTCTGGTTTGTTAAGTTTGATTTTTTAAGAAGGCGCCCCCCAAAACTACCACCTGTCGAGATTACGTTTTAGAGAGCGCCTTAGTCTTCTGGTATTTATCTCTACTGGCCACATTAGGAAAAACCAGGGGTTGCGGTGTTTTTTGGCGCCATAAGAAGGGCCAGAAGCTGAGCATTTTAGTGCAACAACTCATGCCGAATACGATATTACCAGTTAAGCACAGGGACTCCTTCAAAGTTAGAGTTTTCGTTGAATTTTCGGACTTGTCACAGTTGGGAAGACCGACCGGTGTAGCTTAAATGGGCCCTACCTGACTTTTCGAAGTCAGGCCTTTAGTCCACATGCTAGCCCTCGATCCAGGACAGAATAAAATTCGGGGCCTGCGGCGCCGTCACCCCCCCCCGACTTCGACAAGAGCCAGTTGAGCTGGAATATGCATCTAATGGTGAACGGGAGCGATTAAGGATTGTTAGCCAGGGATGAGTTTCTATGAGTGCAACACGCAGCCGCTTCTGCGTCCTTTCCACCAACCAAGGCTTAGAGCGCAGCCGCCAGAGTCGCCGCCGCGGGCTACTCGGTTTTTTGACTTGCCGGACGCTTTTCTTCGCTCTGGGCGCGCTTGAGTCTGACCCTTTGTTTAGGAAAATAACGTAGAGGCCCTTTTGTGTGGCCCCCCCATAACCCTTAACACTGCCTTTACTTCAGGGTGATATTGGGGGTGTTTCGCCGTCGATTAAGGTATTTTGTGTGGGAGGGGTCATTCGCGTCGCCGTCTGCTCTCCTGTCTTTCTAACCAATGTGTGTTCGGACCGAACCCCCGTCATCCTCCCCTAACTACGTTAGCGCCGTTTTTACATTTTGTGAGCAGTTTTGAATCATCCCGAAGGTGACCGCATTCACTAAGCATTTACGATGAACGCGATGTTTGTCGTGATGTTAAATGAGTTGGGTATGATGCACAAAAATGTCTTCACTGGGATATCACCGTTTTAATTTGGACAAGGGAAGAGTTTTCATGTTTTCTTCCGTTTTTGACTTTGTTGAGATTTGATAATGAATATTTATTGAATTGGCTTTTGTGGTAGAATTCCCTGGAAGTTTTCGACGTTTTGTAGCAGCTGTTGAATAATCTAGCCTTTGAAGGCTACAAATCGTATTAACCGATGAATTCCTTTGCATGACTGGCAAGTGAACTTGACGAGGTCGATCTCCTCTGTTACAGCTGCCAATGAGCGATTTCATAGTCGATAAGAACTAGATCCATCGGTGTTGCCTTCGATGGCACTGGTTCCGCTGTACAGCGCTGTCGACTCATAACGTTCCGCTCGTTTCATTTGGGAAAACTGTGCTTTTCAATGTTTTGCCGTCAACTCTTTCACAAGTTCGATTACCTCAATGCCATTCATTCTTGGGAATTCCCATATGTTTTCCACTAGTATTCAACACAATTATCCCCAGCTATCAGCTGTCCCTATCTGTTTCTGATCGATGGAAGAGATCAATGACCAACCCCCGTTGTGAAAGCCCCGTATCTCTCCCATCTGTCTATAAATGAATTATTACGCTATTCCACGTGATTTTTCGCAGTTTTACTGACGCGGAGATTCAAAAAACTTTGGAAGGGTTTCAGATGAGCGACGAGAAAGCTTCCACTCCATTAGTGACAGATGAGCCTGGTAGAGATGAAACGAAACCAGCTCAACCGTCAGAAGACAAGGAGGAAGAGCTGCCCAGCCTTAATCCGATTCCATCTGCGTGGATTTCTGCCGGTGCTTCCTGGTTCAGTAGTGCTAAAGAAAAGGTGAGGTTTATGGCGCAATTTTTCGCGGAGTGTTTTTTTTCATTTTTGCGCGAAGCACCTACACCACCTTTGCACACAGTGGGCTTCATTGGAAGACCGGCCTCTGATAGCCACATCTCTTCTTGCCGCGAACATAATTTGCTCTTGTATTATACACTTGTATTATACACATTACTCTTTATATATTAGGGTGATGTGAAAATTATATTACCCCTCCACACAGTTGACCTCATTGGAAGCCACGCCATCTTTCTGTCGCGAAAATAATTTAATTATTGCGTTCTATTGTGCATATTGCGCACACTATACTCCATGACAAGGATAGGGGCTGTGAAAATTTTATTCTCAGTCAGGGCACGCCGGCTTCCGCAGCGAGGGAGGTCGTGTTAGGTCGGTGGAGAGCAGGAGGTCGTATTTGCCGCTAGAAGGAATGTTTTCTACTGTTCACTTTTCTCGATTTTCATGTTTCAGTGCGCTATACACCCTCTCAACCCTTCCAGCTCGCTCGTAGCAAGTCGGGTGGGGGGGGGGGGAAGTGGGGGAATTTTTGAGCAAAAAACTTCGGGAAGTGTGAAGAATATGGAAGACTTGAAGACGATGGTAGGTAGGGTTTCGGATGGGGAGCAGATCGAATCAGAGGTGGAAACATCGAGGAGGGGGTGGCTTTTGCAGAAATTCCTCCATTACGGCAGCATGTGACCCTATCCTCAATATGACGAACTCATTCTCCTATCCCTCAATGTCCATCGACAGGGAATATTGAAACACGTCAAACAAACAGGCCAAAGACGGCCCTTTTCCCCCAACAAAGAAATACAACCTGCTGGTGCTTGAGTGAATTGTTTCGATGATAGGTTTCGACTTGCAGGCTCCGAAGAAGGCGATGTTCGCCGAAACGTTAGTCCAATAAAGTATCTGTACAAATCTCGGGAGGCTGAAGAAACATTCTGAATTATTATGAAGTACAACCGCTTTGAGGATTCCTGGACAGACCCTTAATCCTGCTCGCGAACTGAAATCTTTGGTGGCACTCTAGAACTTTGCGCAAAAGCTCAATCATGGATTATTTTGTTTCGTTCGGTATGTTATTCGCTGGATTTCTCGTTGCAAAAGTGAGAATACCTCCCCAGTACCAACGTATTTGTGGGGGGGGTAGCAGGTGGTCCTCCTCCCAACCACCCTAGCGCCTGCCTTTCTTAAATCTCCTTTCTAGCTGATGTGTCGTGACAGCAACTTGTTAGGCCTGAGTGGAAACTGTAGAAGCGCTAAATTTAACACCAGTTGGTTGATTGTTGCTCGCCGATCCACGTTGAAGCCGCGTTTATTTCAAAAATTGGTGGTAGCTTTGGGAGAAATAGTGTCTTCACCGTGTATTTCAGACGAAGAACACTTTTGATCTTATGAAGAAGGATTTGGCCGAGTTTGGTGATGCCATGACCCAGGAAGTTGCCGACCTCACCTCTGCGGCGAAAGGAGGTCAGTCTCTGCCTTCTAGCGTGTTCATGCTTCGCGATTGGGTCGTGGAGATCGCGCGATCGTATCGCTCAGGCCGCTGGGTCGCGGAGAATGAAGGCGCTCCCATCTTTCTGTTCATATGACGTATTGCTAACTAAAGTTCAGGTCTTGACACGGCTACGACCGTCATTAAAGAGCAGGCACAATATCTGGAGAAGTTAGTAACGCCTGACGAAGAGGAGAAGCCTGTTGTTGTCGAAGAAGAAAAGATGGCTGAACCTGAGACAGAAAAGTCGACCGATTCTGTTCCGAAATCGCAATCGTATGAGAGTTCATTGGCTGCCAAAGTGGGTTTCACAGAAGCCATTACATAATGTCTCCCTATGTGCCTCGGGAGGGGCCAATCTGCAGTTTTGTATCAATGCCATAGTGGTCTGCATTTTTCAAGGGTGGATGATGGGCAGCTCTGGGATAAGTAAGTCTCTTATCATATGAATGAAACTGGTACGCTAGATGGCTACGCAGCACCGGA